TTTTTATAATTTGTCAAAATTATTATTATTATTATTATTATTATTATTATTATTATTATTATTATTATTACATCCTATCATAATTTTAGAAATGTCTCTCTTACTATAATTGATCAAAATTACTATCATGCTCTTTTATTATAATTATTAAAGTACCATTCCTACCATAATTGGTCAAAATTATTATAATACCTATCATACCATACTCACAAAATGCCAATTCATAATAATTAATCATATTTACTATAATATCCTTTTATACCATAATCACATAAATGCCTTTATAAGTGTTTCATAAGAAATTAACATATGGCATTTTATTTCAAAATTACTATAATACTTTCTTATCATAATTATAAAAATACCTCATCTATCATAATTGACCAAAATTATTATAATATCCCTCATGCTATACGTACGAAAATATCTTTCCAATATAATTGACCAAAATTATCATGATGTCTTTTATATCATAATTACATAAATACTCGTATGAGTGTTTCATAGAAAGTTGACATGCAATATTTTATTTTAAAATTACTATAATACTCATATTAAATTACATATTAAATTTTAACATAAAATAAAATTAATCACATATTAAATTATAAAAATACTCTCGACATTAATTTATAAAATTAGGCATGTGGCATTTTATTAAAAACAATCAAAATTAAATGATTAATTAAGTTAAATAATTATAATTTTTATTTAAATAAAAAATTAAATAAGTTATATTTTAAAATGAAAAAAATTAATTCCCAACGTAAATAATAAAATATAAAAACCTGAAATGAAGAGAAATTTAACATATACAAAACTAATTATATAGTTTTACACCTTCTCATATCTTTTTAAGGAACCATGGACAACGAGTTCAAGAACAAGAAAAGCTCCAAGATCAGCTGCGTTTTCCATAAAGAAAGCCCTTTGATGAAGACGACGGTGATGATGACTCTCACGATCATGATCATGATCGTCCATCCAACGGTCATGATTCCTCCAAGGATAGCTGCAGACCCAGCACCAGCACTTGATTTTGCTTTGAATATGTGTTTTCATGACCTTTGTTATGGATGTAATGAACAAATTTCATGAAATTCTATAGGGTTTATTTGTTTTAGATAACTTGTTTTGAATCTGAATATTAATATAGATAATTGGTATGATGAATTAACATGTGATAGCTAACGATGAACTTGACCTAAGTTACAGCTGAACAAAGATTAACGTTTTGCCTAATATTCGGGGATGAGTAGAAATTTATCATTTTATTTGTTTTCTGCTAGATGGTGACCCATCTTTTTACATTTTATTTCTGCTTACTGCTAAGTTAAGTTTGTCCAACAACTCCGTCGGGAGACTAAGGTTATGCTTTGATACATGTAAATAAAAAAAATAAAAGGAAAATGAAAGAAAAGTCTTTTAAAAGAAAGGAAATGACACATTTAGCCTTTGTTTGGATATTTAAAATTAATTAAAAAAAATTCTAACAACCATTGTTTGGATAAATAGTTAAAAAAAAAATTCATTATAATATTTTTTTAATTACAAATTTTTTATATAAACTAACATATAATATACAAATATATCTTTATACTACCTAACTTGTATAAACAAATTTTTTTAAATAAAATTGAGCATTTTTAATATGATAAAATATATTAACTAATTATTGATTTACTCTTAATTTTGTGTATAATTCAATCTTTTAATTTATTCTAACAATAGGCTTGTTTTGTTTTTAAGATTTGAAAAATTATAAAATATTTATAACTGTGATATTATATAAAATACTCATAAAAAATTTATTTTTATAGAAAATATTAGTTATATAATTAAATTTAATATCATAATAAAAATATAGATATAATAATTTTTTTATAAAAATAAAATTTTTTCAACTTTCCTTTCTAACCTTTTACCTAAATTAGCATATTAAAAAAGTGGAGATTATAAAAAAAAATCAAAGGATATTGAGTTTCTATATCTTTTCTTTTTTTTAAGTTAAAAGTTTATTCAAACAAAGAATTTTTCTGTTTCCATTACTTTTCTTTATTTTCCCTTCCCTCGCCTCCTCTCGATCCGAATATAGAGTAAAGGTATGCTTCATAACTCTGTTTTGTACTATGCATGTTGAATAATCTGTTTTGTTAGGATACATAGCAAAACTATGTAATTTGCCTGACATTGTTTCCACTGCTTACTTTTAGGTTCTGTTTGGTAGGAAGGTAAACATTTTAATCTAATGAGAGCTACAAATACATGTTGTTATGTAGCTCAACCGATAGATTAAAACTTTTTCCTTCCCTTTTTTTCTTCTTTCTTACCAAATGGAGTGTTAGACAAATGTGTACAGAACGGAAATAGTGAGATGGAGGTCTCTATCCCAGTTAGCCGTCGATAGGATAGTGGGGGAACCAAATTAAGAACATGTAACTAACCATCCTGAAATATTGATTTCATTATAATTTATAAGTACATTAAGCCAAGAAACAAGACTTTGGTGTCCGGTGTCTGTCCGTATTTCAACAATTCAGATTCAAAATGCCTCAATTTTGGATGTTGGCTTGCTTGACAATGCAGTTTTCTTGGTGTGAGTGTCTGTTCATCTATTTCTTTTTATTGCTTTCGGGTTTTCCCTTGACAGACTCTACTTTGCCTCTAGCATTTGTTTTCTGCTGTTGCTGACTTGCTGTTGCCTACTGTCGCAGTTTATTGATCTATTGAGGGCCAGTGCCGTTAGTTCCAAAGAGTTAAAAGAGAGTGGGTGAGAAGATAGTGGAAGGGAGGGAGGTAGTAGATATGGAGATCAGAAAGAGAAACAGGGTGTTGAGAATATTGACTCAAATTCCATAAGAGATTTGTTTGAGATTTGTTAGAGATTTGTTTGAGATTTGTCAGATATTGCTTGATGGACAAAAAGACTTGCAAAAGAAGAATTCTAAGAGAAAGAGAATTCTTAATAAGTAAGTTTGACTTGTAAGAGAAGAATTTTAAAAGGAAATGGATTCTTAATAGGCAAGTTTAACTTACAGGAGAAGAATTCTAAGAGGAGAGAGATTCTTAATGGGCAAGTTTGTATGGTTATAAATAGGTGAAGTCTCTATAGGGTTAGGTATGACAAAAAAATGTAAAAGAGTTGTAGGGTTTTATGGGATAGACACCCCATAGAAGTATTGGGACTCTACGTCTTATTGGTGTGTGTGTTTGTTTGTGAGTGGACTAGAGGAGACTGAGAGTGTCCACATAGGTATGATGTATGGGAACATATGGGTATGTGTTTGGTTGTGTTGAAAGGGTGCACAAGGATTTGGGTTTGTGTTTGTTTGGGTTGAGAATACTCTATAGGACTAGAGGAGATTGAGAGTGTCTTATGAGTATTGATTGTTGAGTGAGATTGATGATTTGATGTATGTTTATAATTCTCTACAACTAGTGGATCTTTTTTCTCATCCGTAGATGTAGGTCAGTTGGACCGAATCATGTTAAATTGTTGTCTCTTGTGTGTTTGATTTCGTTTCCGCTGGTATGATTGGATTGGAGGCTTTTAGCCCAACACATGGGACGTGGCTTGAGGAAGGGGTAAGCTGTGAGGAGGGGTTAGAAAGAGGCGACTAGAGATTAGTATTAAAAAAAAGGAAGAGGATAACAAAATGGAGTAGGGTGAGAGGAGGTGCGTAGGTGTTAAAATGTGGAGTGCGGGCTGGTAAACTATGAGGTTGCGGGAGAGGATGGATCAGAAGATTGAGAGGATGGGAGTAGGCGGTAATGAAATGGTCTCGGTGGCATATGAAGTGGAGGGCAGATTTCATTGAGGGGTTTGCTTGGTTGCGGTTTTGTGACAAGGGCTTGGTGGTGGGTGTTGGCGGCCGGCAGAATAATGTTTGGTAATTTTGGAAGGGTGAGTGCGAACTTTGAGAGGAATGAGACTGGGGACTTGGAAATGTGCCAATCATCAAAGACGACATTTTCAGTGCAGTGAAAATGATCAAAGATATACTAGTATATTGAGTTTTGTAGTCTGAGTTTAGTTTGAGTGAGTTAGTTTGCACTTGAAGTAGACAAGTTTCAGTTCAATGTCTTTTGGCATTATTTCTGACTCAGAAATGCACTGTTTTTCGAATTTTAGTTTCTTTTTTTCTTTTTGATATTTTGTGCTGATTATTTAAGATGTTTTCTCTCATGCAGATAAAAGTTTCAGTAAATTCTTGTATTTTTAGTGACTTCTTATAAATTAAAGTTCAATGATTAGAGTAAGAATTTTGTGAAAACTTGGGTACTATTCTTTGTATATAAAATGACTTAATTTATGTTTCCCATAACACTCAAGCTTTTGTTGTCAAGGATTTCACGGGAAATTTTGCTACCATTCTCATGCAACTTACAAGACGAAATTTTTCATAAAAAGTTCTGTTTATTATTATTTTTTTTTTTTACCCTTGCTCTCTGATAATGCTTAAATAATTGAATTTTGTGAATGTTATTCTTTTTATTGAATAAATAAATGAAATAATTTTATATGTATATAAACTAATTCTGTTATAATTGTTATTTTGATTTAATCATTTATCAAATCTGTTATGATTTAACTTTTTTTCCATTTAGTTTCTTTACAAAATATCACAATTATTCATAAAAGAATAATAATAGTTAAAAAAGGAAACAATTTTTTTGCTTGGGCTTTTGGTTGGTCAGGCCTTACGATAAAAAGGCCCTTTCCTAGCTTGAGAGTTTGGAGACTAGCTGCCTAACTAACAGTTCACGGCAGTGGCAAATCCGCAATTAATGAAAATTTTTGGAGTAAAAATGGAAACTAAATTATAAGAGAAATTCTTCGATACCAAGTAAACTAGGATAACCTAGATAGACTCGGGAAGATTCGGATGACACGTGCTAGCTGTGTCCTGATAACAGAGCATTACCAAGCAACTAAAAATCTGCCACGTCATCTAAAAAAGCTAAAAAAATAAAAAAATCTCAGAACAGAAATATTTAAATATCCTCCCGAGAGTCCCAGACTCCCAGACATATTCCGCTCGTCTCTTCCATAAGACTTTCTGCTTTACCCCCTGTTTCCTGAAACCAAACTAACAAAAACAGAGTTCTCCTCTGATAAAACAAACCAAACCAAACCCAACAAAAATTCACAGTTTCCTTCTCTTTGGGGAAATAAACAAAACCCTGTTTCCAAGATTAATACCTAAAGCCCAAGAAGGAAGGTTCTTGTCTTCTCGGTACTTCTGGTTCTGCTTTTTTGACAGGTTCGTTTTCTTTCTCTTTCCTTTTACTATCTTTTTCTGATTTTAGTTTTAGTATTATTTGAGTTTTGGTCTTAGTTTTTTGGGTTTAATTTTAAGTTTCCGATTGTAAATTTCTTTCTTATTTGTTTTCTAAGACAATGAAAAAAAAAAATTAGGTCTTGGTTTTTTTCTCTGTTTCTTTTCACTACTTGAAGTTTATTTCGATATTGACAATTTTTTCTCTTTAATTCAACTGCAGATTGTTGAGGTTTAAAACTGTCTAAATTACACTGTTTGTAACGGCTAACTGTTATTTCAAGGGTATTTCAAATACCCATTTTTCCTGAGCCTTTATTTACTGAGACACGGTTGCTTCAAAATTCTGCACATTTGGATCAATTAGACTATGACTTTTGCTGGTGATCAAAATCCAAAGGTGGATACTCCTCTTTCTATGGATTCTTCTAGAAAGAGGAAGAGACGCTGTGGTTTATCAGTTGCTGACACTCTCAAGCTCTGGAGTGAAAAAACCGAGGCCAAACACGCCAGAAAAGCCCCTGCTAAAGGCTCGAAAAAGGGGTGTATGAAAGGTAAAGGAGGGCCTCAGAATCAGAATTTTGTCTACAGAGGTGTTAGGCAGAGGACTTGGGGTAAATGGGTGGCTGAAATTCGAACTCCTAATCGAGGGAAGCGACTTTGGCTTGGTACTTTTCCTACTGCTTTCGAAGCTGCTTTAGCTTATGATGAAGCTGCCAAGATGATGTATGGTGAAAACGCTATCTTGAATATGCCTCATATTTCGGATTCTGACTCAATGGCAACTACGTCATTTTCACAAGCGTTTTCGGAGGCTACTACTACTTGTGCTGGTTCTGACTCCATGACTGCATCAAGCAACTCTGAAATTTGTGGCAAATGTGTGGGTGGTGAAGATCAAACTAGGATGAATACCCACTTTCTGCCCGGTGATTCTGAAGCTCCATCGACGAGTGGTGCAATGAATTGGACAGCGGATGAAATTCAAGGTGTGAGTGACTTCAAAGCTGAGGCGAATAAGAAGGCAAAACCAGAAGATGAATCCATGAAGGAGACAGATTATAGCTGGCTTAACGGATTGGAGTTCATTGACGGTATTCCAATGGATTGTGGAGGGAATAGTGTCTGGGATGGTGTATATTTTTGTACCGAGGATGAGTGTTTTAATATAGATGAGCTTATTGGTTGACTTGTATTTTAGACCTCTACATTTTGTGTTCAAATCTTTTTTAATGTTAGTGAACTAACTCATACAAATCTTTTTCACTGACCCTTGAGTTTGAGTAATAAAGATTTGGCCGTCATTCACTTATGTGTTATGATCGGCAAACAAATTGAGCTACCGACAATTGGATGACTGTCATGAAGAACGAATCCTGATTGCTGTTGACAGTACATAAAAATTGAGCCATCTGCTACTTGTATAAAGGCCTATTAACGACGCAAAGATAAACCCACATAATTTTTCATAGGAGAAAATTTGAAATTCCTCCATGTTAAGTTTAGTAAGGCAAATAGATTTTTTTTAATATACTCTAAAGAAATTGTTTTGTGAAGTCTAGAAATTTTATTATCAGTAAATTTGATAATTTATCATTTAATTATATTAAAATATTTAAAAGTGAAATACTAATTAAATGAAAATAAAGAAGATCAAAACTTTCTGATCTTGTAATAATTAAAAAATAATAATTGCCCCCAATCTAATTCCATCTCTAATGGTATGGTGGGTTCAAACTTCAAAGCTCTATACAACCTATGAGCACAAAATGCTTCCTAGTAATACAAAACACACTTCTACCTGATAGACAGCAAAAGAACACCAAAAAGTAAGTAAACATTTTATGATCTCACTCGGGCAAGTCATGCCCTTATCTCTTCTAACTCTTCTTCATCATCTCCACCCTCTGCTATTGCTTCTTCCTGTAATAGTTAAAAGAAATTAAGTTCCAGCTTTTTGCAATAACAAGTCCCAAAAAAAAGAAAAAAAAAAGGCATGGGGATAAAGTTTTGCATACTTCATTGGAAGTGCTTTCTCTTTGGGCAGGTATCCTCACTCTTTCCTTCTGAACAGCTTCAGGAAGCTGCGCAGCAGTTTCACCGGCTATTTCTGAAAGAACCTTATCAACTTCTTCTTCAGTCTCTTCTTCTATATCTTCCGAATCCAATGCTGTGTCAAGAGCATCATTTATGTTTCTTCAATAACCCCAGCCTACACCATTTATGACAGAGGTGTAAGGTTTTATATGGAAAAAGGAAAACAGAGGCAGTATCTTGAAACAAGAAAAAACTCTGAAAGAAAAGAGGGTAATGGACTTTCCAAATATGTGACATGCAGATGCTTCTCACATGCCACTTCCGTCCCTTATACAAAGGGGATGTTCATCAGTTCAAATATGTTACAATTTTGTTTCTTCACCCCTCTTGGCTGAGCATCAAAACAAGGAATAGCCCTCCTTCCCCTCCAATTTTATATCCATATTTTTTCTCTGAAGAGAGTTTTTGTGTTACTATCAACATCTTCAAAGAAATGAAAGAAAAATCAAACTCCAAAATGTTGTAAACAAACCTTTGGACAAAAGTTTATTGGTTGAAAACTTGTGATTTCAATTGGACATATTCAGAAATTAATTTCCTGACCAAGTTTACTTCTGTGTAACTTTCAGCCAAAAGCACTAACAGAAAACTAATCTTGGGGCGACATAGCAACTCCAAACAACAATAGTCGAATGCCAAGTGTTCTCAATGTGTTAGTGTCATTTCCAATGTATTGAGAAAACAGGCATTCAACAGGAATACAGCTATCAAGGATGATAAATATTATAAAACAAAAACTGGCACATAAATGCAACAAAAATACAAACTTTAAAATTACCTTGGTCATTTCTTTGCTAAATTCTTGCATAATGGCAGCCATTTCTGGAGCTTTCATGAGGTTGTTTACAAGTTTCATGACTTCAGCGCTCTTGAACAAATGACCAACAGTTCGTGCAATTGCTTCAATTCCATTCCAGCATAAGAAAAATTAGAAAGAAAGGTTGGAAAGGAACAGAAGAGATATATTTCAAGCAGTTCTTCCCAAAGAATAAAAACACAAAGGAAAGTAAAAGGCCAAAAAGGAAATCGTTTCCCAATAATACACATTATCTTGACCAAGGCTTTCCCAAATGAAATCTTATCCATCAAGCCAAGTAAAGATTCAAGGGAGATGGAAAGAATTTTGATAACCAAAACTTCAAGCAAGAAAACAAGGCTTTGTTGGTGGAGAGAAGTTATAAGTGAAGTTTTTAAATGCTGGAATAAAGGCGATTCTAGATTGGAAGTTTATGAAGAACTTGAAATGACTAATACTCTTTTATTAAGAAAGAGTCTACAATCAATCAATCTTGCTCTTCTCCAACAAGCGGTACCTCCTTTAATCAGGATACTGAAAGAAAGCTCGAGAATATTGCCATGAATAAATCCTCATTAACTTTTAAAGGCTGAATCCATTGGCACAGAGAGGTGTAGACTTATCTAACAAGGAAAGCAAAATGATTTCCCAGACCATTCTGATATGAAAAATTTTTATCACACTTCTGAGTCTTCAGTGAATTTTTTACCAATAAAATGGTTAAGGAAACATTCAACAACCAAAAACTAGATTTCCATAACCTTTGAAAAACTAGGAATCATAGTGTTCCCTGTCTTTCTACCTATTAAAAAGTGTAGATGCATAGCTTCCCTAAATAGATACTTCAGTAATCATCAACATTCTATAAAAAATAACAATAACGCTGATTGATAATAATCAAAACCACAGTCTGTTAACCATCAAAATTGTTATTCTCATAAAACATAATTTAACTTGCACATTTTCCAAAAGGTAGAAAAATACATTAGGTATGTCAATTTATAAATCTAATACTTCAAAAACTGATATGTTCATGGAAATAAGCACATGCCAACAACATTCTCATCCTACGTTCCAACTTAAAAGTTTCCAGGTATAGAGACATAATACCATTATTTGGTAAACATAATGCAGATATTTCAGATGCATAAATTGTCATACCTACATTTTCTCCAAGGTGCATTGATATTGCATTAAGTTGGGCTTTATTCTCATATAGACGGTTCACAGCTTTTCTTGACATTACAATTTCTTTTGCAAGTGCCTGAAAATATAGAATAAGGATCACCATGTGAACATACATAAGAGAAGATACATCAATAACAAGCCATATGCAAAATTATAGACATACAAGCATGCACACGAAGGGAATAGATAAATATTCTTGTTTATCCAAAAAAAATATATTCACAGACAAAAGAGACATACACTAGGGGCACCCAGGTTTCATTTGATAGGACCCAACTAAACCATGGCCCGTTTCTCGATACTTAAAATCTACATCTTTTCTGTTTTCAGTTTGCAGTTTCCACAAATAACTAGTCAAGAGTTATTCCAGCTTCCTGATCCTAAGTTAAGTTTCTCAACTTTAGAAAACTTGCTGGATGAATACCTTAAATCACAAGTAATGAAAGGTTATAATTGGAAAAAATTATTATAATGAATCATTTCCTTTCTTTTTCACTCTTTATCCAAACAATAGGTGTTAGAATTCTTTTCCTTTCCTTTCCTTTATTAATTTTAATTATCCAAACAAGAGATACATATATCGTTTCCTTTCTTTTAAAAAACCTTTTTTTCCCTTTCCTTTCCTTTCCTTTCCTTTATAAATATTTATCCGAACATTACCTAAGACTCTACTAGTATTACAACATTCAATTAGAATCCTTTTCATGCATGCCCGCTCATCTCATTTAAACAAGCACAAATCCTATCTGCTTCAGCAATTTAAAGACCTAAATTTCTCTAAGTCATAGTAGGACCCAGATCCTTTTACAGTAAACTTAAATTTACAAGATATAGCAAAACAGAAATAAAAAACCTAAGACTAGTTATTAATACATGATAAGAGCTAGATGCTACTTACAAGAAGGAATTTCATGATAATCGGTCAAAAAAACCAAAAGAACAAGTACAGAAATTTACACTAGAAAAGAAAGTTAGTTCAGATAACTTCCAAGCAGTAAGACTAGTATCCAAGAAAGGCAGGAGGTGAAGTGGCAGCCATTTTGGCAACAAGATCAATCAGATTATCTGTGTGCCTTAATATATAACAACCTCTCTTCCTAATCATACCATTCTAACCACCAAAAAAAAAAAAGTTTAATTCCTCAATAAATATGACATGAATCATGATCAATCTATTTAACATTAGTTCCATTAAAAAAATTAACAGAAAAATGAAATCATGAACAATCTATTTAACTGAAGTTCCATTAACAAAATTAACAGAAAAATGAAGATTTTTCACCTAAGCAGAACCCATGTCATTTCTCTTGACAGCTTCTCTAATTGTTTTCTGTACACTTTTCTCCTCTCTCTGGACATCTAAAACAAAAACAACATAAAGTCCCCATCAATTTTCTTATCAGACAATTTAGACCTAAACCACAAAAAATAACAAAAACCCATTATTGTAAACCTTAAATATCAACTACCCATTAACTCAAAAATCTAAATTACCACCAAAAAGCAATCTTTAAAAATTTGCCCAAAAAATTTAAGGAAAGAATATTAACTTGCCTCTAATTTGGCGTTCAATATTACGGCACTCTTGACGAAGCTTTCTTTGCTAATCTCTTAGTAATTGTTGTGGGTTCGGCTTTGGTTTCAACATATTCTTAAATTTATCCATCTTTGTCTCCTCTCCCTGCAAATTACTTGTTTTCCTTTCTGTTCTTTTTTATTTTTTTTTTCTCTTAGCCCAGACAAAAACAGACTGAGAAAATTTTGCTAGGAAAACGCGTGGGATTTTTCTCTCAATGGGAGGAAAGAAAATGGCGTAGAATCAAAGCTCTATTTTTTCCTCTAATTTTCTTTTCCGTGTTTGTTTCCCCAGAATTTTTATTTCCATTTTTTTTAATTTTCTTTTCCTTTTCTATTTTCGGGAAAATACGTAATTAACACAGTTTGCACTTTGGGAACGACGTCGTGTCCCCAAAACACGATGGTCTTTTTTGGAGGGTATTTTTCTCCTTCCTCCCTTGACACAGCAATTTGGATTATGTAGACTAATAAGGCCCCTTTCAGTGACGATTCCAGTGCCGTGGAGTCCTACATCCCGCCCAATAAACCCAGTTAGTGTCGTTTCGACCCCAATCGAGGCTCCAGTGAGGGGCAATCATAATTCTTCCAAGGAATTGTATATATTTATGGGAAAAAATTAAATTAGAACAAAGAAATCAAAAAAAAAATTTATGTTAATTTTTAAATGTTATATAAATATTAATCAATAATCTCTTTCCACTATTTAAAAAAAAAAAATCAACAACAACAACAAATTAAGTATCAAACATTGAAGCAAATACAAGAATGCTTTCAATAAATAAATGAGATCACCCTGACAAAATTAATCCGACTCTGTTTTATGACTCCCCAATATAATTCATAATTTTTTAATAGATTCTACATGTGTGAATAATGATATAATCGTATAAATGTATTGAAAAATAATGGATTAAAAATAATGAAACCAAATCCTATATAAAGTACCAGCAATGAAGCTTGTATAGAAAAACATAAATTCCTGCACTCGTTCATCAAAATAAAAATGCAAAACTTAATTGAATTCATCAAGGAAGATCATGAACAAAAAGTTGATCCTGTAGGTTATGAAGTTACATAAAATAAGTAAATTGCTAAGAGATTATATTAAAATGCCAACGAAATTTAGCAAATATACTCACGCTGTCTTTAGGATTTCATTAGTTCATAATGAGTCTAATACATCAATTTCCTTTTGCTAGCCAATATGTTCATAGTTCGTACTATGTCAAAATGAGAGTTTAATAAGCCCAAGGGCGCAAAGAAAATCCAGGACTGCAACAGGCAGTCAATCTAATGAATATTAATGGAGGCTTTGGATATCTGTAATCTGCAATAAGACCAAAAAATAATTTACAAAAGTCAGCGACAAGAAGCAAGTCCTCCACTGTCTAACAGTCTACATGCCACTACTTCACCATCATCACTGATTATCTAATCAAAGAGCCCATCATCGTGCCAAATATCAACTAGAAAATCTACCATCTCCTGCAAAATATACATCAATCAAGTAAACAGATATAAGAAGTTTCCCAAAACAGTAATAGTTATTGCTCTGTTGTCATGGTATTTATTTATGATGATATTCTCATGGGCGCAGCAATTCATTTAAACCAAGGAAATTGGGTCAGTCCCCTTTTTTTTTTTTTTTTTTGTATATTTAAGCAACTAGAAGGAGGGAGGGTTTCAAATCTTAAACGTCACTACCCCTAAAGAGAGGAAAATAACCGCTAAACCAAGCTTGATTTGTCAGACCAGCCCATTTTGAAATAGTAAAACACTGCCGAACAAGCCTCCCTAGCCCTTAGCATTCAAAAAAAATGATAAGATGGTTAGGATCTATTGATTACTTCTTCTATTGTTAATTCTATAAAAACCGTTCTACTATTTAACTGCAGTTTGAAAGTACACTTACTGGCAAAGGAATTGGTTCAGGAAAAGGCTCATTAGTTAAGAGAAGCTCTTCATATGTTGTGGACCAGCTGCAACAGAAAGTTTTTGCAGTTATCATCCACATGGTATTTGGGCAACTATAAGATAAGGTAACCAGGTAAAATCTATGATATCAAGCAATATCATATAACACATGAGAAAACCAATCAGGAAGAGATATTCTAATTTATTCATAAGATATATTATAAATAATAACCCTTATTTCTATGTAGCAAATTTGTGATAGTTTCCTGTTAAGTTAGATCATATTTATTTTATTTAAACTTACAGGTATCTTGGAGTTTGAGAATCCACATCAAGTAACATCAACAACAGCCCTTTTTGGACAAGAAACCACATCTTTGCACACAATCACCTTATGATAAATATGGCAAACAAAAACAAACAGGTGCCCCCAGACAAGTTATCTAACATTATTCAAACTTCAACAAGGTTTCCAAAACTTTCCTTTTAGCATTGGACAATCATGTAAGAGAAAATGCTAAAAACCTTGATTTTTCAACAAAATGTAGCAGTTAGACAAACCCACATTTACCCCAACCACTGTAGCCCACCCAAACTAGCAAACTTCAGCTCAAATTTTTATTGCACATCTTGAGGAAGAAAAAACTGGCCAGCCAAGTGTTCATACCGATGCCTTGTACCAACAATTTAGTTCTCCCTAACCACTTTCCATACAAATTCCAAGCATTTTCCATTAAATGCAATTTATTATGTTTCTTGTTTAAACAAAACCTTGTTATCAATAAGCATACATTAAGAAGGGCTAGAATATGGAAATTGTACAATAATGATGCAATTCCAACTAGGCCATTTCCAAAAGCATATATGGTGCCTATCTACCCCAGCCAAAATAGTATACAGTCGAGCAATACCAAACAGTCATTACATAGAATGAAAAGAAGATTAACAAACCGGTATACCTTAGAACTGGATCCTTACTGATCTTTCGTGACTGTTGAGATTTATCCCCCACCCACCTTCTTCTGTTCTCATGCCAAGCAATTGCAGCTACATAATGGATTCAATTAGGTTATAACATCATGCTTGAAAAAAGTAACTATAAACTCCACTGAGAAAAAAATAAACTAAAAAAAAATACACCATGAGAAAACCCATATGAAGCGTGGAAAGAAAAACCATAAACAGTTGTTTATTGATCACTTCAGTCTCATTTTATTTCTAAAAATATTAAAATATAAACAATACTGTAATCAAAGAATTTTTATTTAATATCTTTTAGATATGCTTTTGCATCCAAACATGCTTGTAACCTTTTTGCTACCACAAGCAGAAAACAAGTAGCAAAAGCACCAATCAAACGGAGCCTAAATTATGTATAAGCGCCTAAGTTGTAATCCTGCAGTTTCTTTTGAATGGTGCCATCAGAGAGTCAGTACCTCAGTTTTTGGTGATAGAGAAAGCAATGGGCTCTGCAGGCTAATAAAATAGAGATAGGACAAGATCCATAATGTCTGATGATGAACTATCTCTCCACTTTCAGGAAAATCTAGGGATTGACACTATCTTTGAAATGATAAAGTTATGCATCGGATACTCTCAGACAGCAAACCTAAAGCGCATTGCACATTAATGTTGACTTTTCCCACAACTCACATCTAACTGGCAAACCATAATTACAGGATAGTACATCAATAAATTAAGTTCTCAAGAAATTGTAAGTAGAATTGACTAATAATGTAAACCTATAATGAAATTTCTTAAAGTGATTGCAAAAGTGGGAAAATACCTAAAATGAAACACTATTATGACTCATTTAAAGAAAGGAACATACCATGATTTACAAATACAGAAATGCTTGCATCTTTTTCTGCAGGCTTTTTCTCTTTATCAGCACATTTTGGACACTCAGATGGTTGTTTCTCATTTGAACAGGAATTTCCAGCATTGACCTCCATCTCCAAACCAAATGACCATTCCCTTTGGCAATAGTTAAAATACTAGTCAACAGTGTTCCTCTTAAGTTCCCTGATAATTTATTCACTAAATTTGGAGAGGGCTTCAAGACCACTGTTATGCAAAAACAAGATCTTTTTATGCAATAAAAAAATTTTAAAAAAAAAGAAAAGAAATTTTCAGCATGAATATGGACCATTTAGAGCATATAACTCCACGAATTAAGCATGTTAATGTTATATGCCATAGAATACATAACAATGTATTGCGACATGATATGTTTTTAGGTAAATCTATTTTTACATCACATATATCTGACACCTTATCAGTTATTTTTTTCACCTTTATTTTAACTTTCCTGATATACTGAGGAATTGAAACATCTTAAAACATTCATAATTACATATACAATATTAGCAATCAAAGCTAAGTTCTAGATCATCAACTTCCTTTTTCCCCTAGTGTTTATTTGTTTCAATCCAACATATTGAGATTATCCTTACACACACAAAACAAGAGCATGAATTTATGTTTAAAGAGTGAGAGTTCAAAAAATAAAAAATCCTATCAGTATGGAACTCCTCAAAGGACATTTATGTCTGTTACGTGCAATGTGGAATTCAAGAGCCCAACATTACTCAAGTAGAACTTATAAGAGAGTATAGCGCTAGCATGTCTCTATAGATAGTATATCCATTAAAATGAATCAAGATCTGGCTGATTTACACAAAATCAAACTATGAAATCTGGAACAACCCTCCAATTCCAGAAAAACAGAAAGAAACAGTTTTGCCATATGTTTCAGCATTGGTACCATATAGAGAAGCTTAATGCTTAACCCTGTATGACATAGCACAGATTGTCTCCCCCAATAGAAACCCATATATCAATTACTTCCCATGAACCAAAAACAAAAATCATTGCCATAAAATCCATCAAGTTCTTGGTCCTAGGAGCTCAACAAAAACATGAATGGATTCCTTAATAATTCCATGAAGTGTCCTCATTCAGAATCTAAAATTGTTGAGAAGACAAATTGAAGAGAAGGCAAAAACCTAAAGAATCTTATCTTGTTTAAGACATTAAATGGTAGTAGATTTTAATAACCTTGACCATAAATATGTACTCAAAAAATACATTCCAAATTCCTTGCTTTTCAACTTAGAAATCAGCTATAATAACAACATGTGTTCTACAAGAACATTAAAGAAAAGAAAACTCATATAGACAAAAGATTCATAAAAAAAAAAACCCAAAAAACCCATACTTTACAAAAAAAAATTAACGATGCATTTGGCCATGAAAAAGAAAAACAAAAGAAACCAATTTCAAAATCAACCAATCCAAACAATAAAACAACAAAAAAAAATAATAAAAATGAAAAAAAAAAAAAAAGCAATAAAAGAGAAAGTAAAAAGGCCGTACCTTTGGGAAGGGAAAAATGTAAAGTTAGGATTCTGGAAGATGTTCTATGTAAAGAAGTTTAAAAGGACATTAAATTTAAAAAGAGAAGAAGTCATTTTCTTTTGTATGTTTTCTTGTTTTGTTTGCTTACTGTTTTGTTTTGTTTTTTTTTTGTTCTTAGCTTTGGTTTGGTTTTCGTTGCGTTTGCACAGTTCTCTGTTTTTATTTTTCTCATGTTTCTGTTTCTTGTTTTCCAATTTTATTTCTTTATCTATGCTGACGTGGAATTTGGGAATGGATAAACTGTTGTGCCGGTGAAGTGAAAATAACTGGATTCTTTTCATTGCACCTCTAAAAATTATGTGTCATCATTGTCCGAGCTGTCACCGAAATAAGAGTAATTTAAAATTTTTATTCTTTGATAGAATAAACTTTAAACTTATTTCCCTTGAAAGGGTAATTTAAACCAAATTAATGCCATGTCAGCCTTTTATGCTTCTTTTTCGCTCTTTATTTCAGCATAAGAGGGAACCGAATACTTGGACGCTAGTCATACCTGCCATCTGACGCTCTCTCACGTACTAAAGAACAACTCCCTCCTGTAGGCAGGCAATGGAGGCTATTAGAGAGGGAATGAGCAATGCTTTCTTGGATATCATAAAGGAAGCGGATCTTTATCTGATTTAACTGAGGGGATTTTTCCTTGTTCAGATTTTAATTAACGAATTTTACTATCATAGATCTGTTACAATACATGACTTCCAGCGTGTGGACTTGATAATTTATCTGTACAAACTTCATGTTTTAATTTACGCACTGAAGAACGAACCTATCATTAATTAGTTGGAGGTTTTTTTTCTTTTTTTTGTGAACAAAAGGTACATAAAACAAAAGTCAAACCCCAGCAGGGGCTTTACAAAATAATAGCTCTGGGAAACTTGATTCTTATTACATCAGCCATTAACAATGGAGATAAACTAGAAGGAGATTCTTCGAACCACACAAAGGTGGAACCAATGGAGGGCCCGATTTTATCCAAGTGATCAGCACAAGAGTTGGCCTCCCTGAAGATGTGTTGATTTTTGTAATTGCGGATGCGTCCCAGCAACGACCGACAATCATCAACAATAGACCAGTAAATATGGGAAGAAGAAACACCATTAGAAACTAACCTTAAGACAAGTTCAAAGTCAACTTCCACAATCAAGTTGTCAAATCCTCTGTTAATAGCAAAGCGGAGACCCTCCCTAAGCCAGAAAGTTTCGCACATAAACTGGTAGTGATCCCAAGCTTGCAAGAAAATCCTCCCATCCAGTTTCCAAGATAGTCTCTAAACACACCTCCAACTCCAGCTCTGCCAGGATTACTTTTAGTAGAACCATCAGTGTTAAGTTTGATAACGTTTTGAGGAGGAGGCGTCCAGCCAATGTTAACTTGTGTAGTATTTGGTTGGATTTTCAGGTAACTGATGGCCCAAAATTCCTTGACAGAAGTTTGGAGATAGTTGTACCAACAGTCAAAGCTTTCAGGAATTTCCTGGAGGATAAGCTTGTTCCTTCCCTGTCAAAAAAGCCAAATAGCAAAGGGAAAAACAACTTTCCAAGGGCTATTAGAAGTAGTTGACTCCACCATAGAATTGCAGTTGACAAAGAGACAGTTAACAAAGTCCATATTGAACGAAGGGAGGACTTAGGAGGAATATGTAAAGCATCCCAGAACTCTTTAATCTTTTCACAATCTCTAAAACAGTGGCCTGGGGTTTCATCTTCCGTATTACATCTCAGGCAAGTAGAATTAATATGCATTCGTCGCTAGAAGAGAGAGTCCTGAGTAGCAATTTTTTGGTGTTTACATAACCATAGGAAGTGTTGAGTCCTAGGCAAGGTGGAGGTCTTCCAAATAACTTACCAGCTTTTATCCTTTCCCCCAGTAGAGCTCTTTAGCATCTTACAAGCAGAGTTAAGGGAGAAATAACCAAATTGAGAGAATTTCCAACTAATGGTATCCTTATTACCACTTCCCACTTGAATAGGAGCAGCAATGATCCTTTCTTGAATTTCATCCGGGATCTGCGCACTGGCCAGATCAAAATCCCAAGAGCCAGTGCCATTAGTCAAGCTTTTCACTACCAAAGTTTCATCTTGAGGCAGCCAAGGACAAAAAATAATAAAGGGTCCATGCCAGTCCAATTATCCGACCAAAATAAGGCTTGATCTCCCGATTTGACAACTCATCGAATCCCCTTTCGAGAATAAAAGTTACTTTGCGCATGCCTGACCAGATGGGAGAACAGGCCTTCCTAATGAATTCGCCATTTCCTGAGTATTTTGGCCTTGAGAACTTTGGTCCAAATACTCTCTGGCTTATTAAGGAAACGCCATCCAAGTTTAGCTATATTAACCTCATTGAGAGTTCTCGGAGGCCTAAGCCTCCTTCTTTAGGCAAGGTCACAGTGTCCCAATTAACAAAATGCATTGTCTTATGGTTCTCTATCGATCCCCAAAGAAAGTTTTTGCTAATTCTATTGATTTCTTCACATATGCTAACCTGGAGATCAGCTCATTGCATGTAATTCATTGGAATGGCATTGACAATAGATTTAAGAGTCATAGTTCTCCCAGCAAATGAGAGCAGGGTGGCTTTCTAACCCGAGAGTTTCTGCTTGATTTTGTTAGCAATGAATCTGTAATTGCTTGCTTTCCGTTTATCGGATAGAGGAGATGCCAAGTACTTACCAAGATCAAAAGAATAAGAGATTCCCATAATGCTGCTGAGGGAATTCATCATTGCTCCTTCCATATTCTGAGTAAAGAACAATGTGGACTTGGCCAAATTGATGGTTTGCCCAGAGATTCTACAAAAATCCCTTAGAACATTCCGCATTGCATGACAAGTTAGAGGTATTTTAGAAAAACAAAAGTTGCCATTAAAATATGCCCGTTGCTAGGCCGAACTTGAAAAAAGCATTTGCAAAAGGCCTTACATGAACAAAAGTATGTACATGACTTAGCGATTGGATAATTCCAAATAAACCAACTGAAATAGAGGAGACAACCACATATATCGGCGTTAGTATTGAATTGCTAGAAAATTTGAGAGTAATCATATGATATTGCATCAGGTCATGACTGGCTTGCTTGATTAAAATTTTCAAAATTAAAACTAACAACATGACAAAAAGGGCTTCAAAATGCCAACTAAACAATTCCTAATTCAACTAAGTACTAACAAAATGATAAAATTTATGAGGTTAATTTAATATAAGAAAATTTGAAACTACTCTTTTATATTCCTCTTTGTTTGAGATTTGCTCAAACCAATAAAAATTCTTCATGGATTAACATTAAAACTCAATGCAAATCATCAAACCAACCCAATGTAGAACCTGGAAAAAAAAAAAAACTACTCAGATTTTCTGCCAAAAAGCACTATCCCACCTGTAACAAGCCGCTGCAATACTTATCTATTAGATATCGGTTAGACAGCAACAGAAAAGAGGAAATGAAAAATCCTTAAATCACCGGCTCCTATTAGATATGCAATATAACTTACGAAATAATGCTATAGACCCCAAGAAATTGCAGTTCGAAAATGTCATTTAACAAAATAAAATGATGACATTCCATGTAGCTTACTGCATACACCATATTATATGACTATTTTACTCGAAAAATTATGATAACATGTAAAAAACTCTACTATTAATAACGTCTAACACAAATATGTATTTGCCCAATCATTAATAAAGTGTCTGTACATCTGAAACTATTTTAAGTCACAAAAGTGCTGCAAAAAGGCAAAATGGACTCAAATTGCTAAGCTAAAAAGAGTTTTATATTAACTCATTTGACAACAAAGTGTCTCATGCCTAAATTGTATCCTAAGATAATAAACTAATTAAACATAAAGCATCGCACTTTAATCTAGGTTAACGTTGGGGGTATTTAGTAGTCCAAAGGTCATAATGTATTTTTCTTCGTTAGGAGCCCTTAACAAATAGCCAGGGGCATTTTGGATATTTGTGTCAACTTGATATAATACTTAATACCACATCAGATCAATCACATCATTATTGTCCTCCATTAGCCCACTACCTCTTCTCTATAAATATAAGCATTCAGGCACTATCTTAGGTTTCATTTTGTCTTAACCCTTTATCTTTCTCTTCTTCCGACTTCATTCATCTTGATTTTTAACTTGCAAATCAAAGTGCAAACACAAGGAACGCACCCTGCTTTTGCATTTGACTGCTCTTTTCTAGCTTTCTGTCTTTCAAAAATATCCTCACATTGGAGCTTGGCACAAACATTTAGCACACCAAGTAAGGGATTTCTATTCATTAATCGACATAAAACAAATGCCACCTAGGAAGAAAACTTTGGAGGAGGGAAAGACGATCATTCTGGCCGAAATGAAAACACACAATAGCCAAGACTCAGACCGACTTACCTCACAACAAGCTGGTCCAATCATGGAGCAGTTCCAGGCTTTGACCAAGTAGATACAATCTTTCAAATAAATGTTACAGACTATAACCCCACCCCAAACTTCAAAGTTTCCCGACCTAGTTACTTCTGGCGGAGAAGCTATCAAAAGGCAACCAAGCTATAAAGAAGTGGAAGCCTCTTCGACCTCCAAAGAAGAAGAGCATGACACTTCTACTCACCACTAGCCCAGTCACAACTCAACACATGCCACAACCTAAAAATCAAAATAAACTAACCCAAAACCCTAGCCAAACAAAGATTTAAAAGCTTAGATGCAAGTTATAAAGAAAGAGCTAAAGATGAAAGCAATGGCTTTTGAAGACGAACCCAAATTTTTAAAGACAACGCCCTTTACCAAGGAGATCGATAGAGCTATGCCTCAAAAAAAATTCAAAATAACAACCTTAGAAACTTACGACAGTACTTTTGATCATTTCGATCATTTGAAATTTTATAGAACTAACATGATGATATAAGGTATAGATGAAGCTCTAATATGTAAAGGCATTGCTACAACCTTTAAGAGCACAACCTAGTCCTAGTCTAGCAGTCTAAGACTGAGGTCAATCATAACATTTAAAAAGCTCAACCACTCCTTCTTGTCCTGATTTGTAAGTAATCAAAGAATGAACAAGACAACATTAAGTTTAATGTTAATTCATTAAGGTCATAATGAATCTTTAAAGAACTATGTCACGCGTTTTAACGTGAAAGCTTTACAAGTGAAAAACCTAGAACAAACGATCACCGTAGCCACCCTAACAAGTGGACTCTGCAACAAAGAATACCGCCTAAAGCTTACCTTATTATTAGAGCCACCTAAGACTTTAACGGATTCCTACTTGTGGTTA